ATAATATTATTTGACAAAGAACTAGTTAGTGAATGGAAGAAACAAAGAACATAAAAATTGAGGTTAAGTAGGGGAATGAACACAGTGAACATACGGTGAACACAGAAAACATGTAAGAAAAAGTTGATGAATAGAGTGAACATGCAGGGCATATGAACTTATAGAGAATATGAAGACATGATAAGGAACATAGGGAATACAAAGAATGAACACTGAACATGTGAAGAACAAGCTAAGAACATTGAGAACATGAATATTGAGTATAAAAGTTTTAGAGAGAACATGTGATGCTCATGAAAATATGACAAAGAACATAGTGAACATACGGGGAAAACGGCAGAAAAAATTTGAACTGAGCATGCTGTGAACATTTATAGAACATGGAATGAACACAGAAAACATGGAAAAAATGTGAAGAATACAGCTGAATATAGAGAAAATATGCAAATACAAGGGGGACAAGAGCTGGAGCTCGGTAACTGACTTGATCTTATTTACTACGTCTGAAATATGACTGTTTAAAATTTCAGGGGGATTGGACTGCTAGTAGCGAAAATGTGGTCTCTGTCAAATTTGGGTCTTTAATTGGACTCTGATTAATTTCGATCATGAACTGGACTCTGATGAAATTTGAGCTTAAAACTGTCTCTGACTAATTTTGCTCTGAAAGTAGACTCTGACGAATTTTGCTAGAAAACTGGACTCTGATGAAATGTGAGCTTAAAACTGTCTCTGACTAATTTTGCTCTCAAAGTAGACTCTGGCGAATTTCTGTTGATAATTGGACTCTGATGAAATATGAGCTTAAAACTGTCTCTGACGAATTTTGCTCTCAAAGTAGACTCTGGCGAATTTCTGTTGATAATTGGTCTCTGATGAAATTTGAGCTTAAAACTGTCTCTGACTAATTTTGCTCACAAAGTGGACTCGTTCATTTTTAGGTATAAAATGGTCTCTGACGAATTTCTGTCTATAACTGGGCTCTGTTCAATTTTGGTCTTTACAGGTGAAATAGCCGTAAATGGATATAAAACTAAATGTTATGGCTAAGTTGTCTGTTTTCCTTAACAAAACGTCTAAGACAATATTCTCTGAAAATGCTCTTTGAAAATGTGTGATTGAAAACGGGCAAAGGTTGTCCATAGAGTTTACCTGGAAATGCTGTGACACAAGCACGATATTTTCTAAAGTTTTTTCTTTAAGATTTTCCTACTTATCTTCATCATAAGAAACCTTAACAAACTTCTAAAATCTCAGAAATTATTTTCCTCATAAGAACTCCTTACTTCCAAATCTGTGACTCCCCAAATTTGCCTGATAACCCTGGCTTACAGACACGATATTTCCCAGAAAAAAAAAAATGTTCTGTGAGCTGTACAACTCACAGGGGTTCTCTGGCCTGAAAAAAAAATGTTCTGTGAGCTGTACAACTCACAGGGGTCCTCTCGCCTGAAAAAAAAAATGTTCTGTGAGCTGTACTCCCTACTACTGAGGGTTCCGAGCACCTGTAGGGTTCTGAGCATCTGGAGGGTTTTGAGCACCTGGAGGGTTCTGAGCACCAGGTGGGTTGTGAGCACCTTGAGTATTTTTAGCACCTGGAGGATTGTGGGCACCTGGAGGGTTATGAGCACATTAGGGGTTGTGAGAACCTGGAGGGTTGTGAGCACATGGAAGGTTATGAGCACCTGGAGGTTTGTGAGCACCTGGAGGGTTCTGAACACCTGGAGGGTTATGAGGACCTGTAAGTTTCTGAGCACCAAAATGCTTCTGAGCACCTGGAGGATTGTGAGCACCTGGACAGTTCTGAGCACCTGGAAGGTTCTGAGGAACTGAAGGGTCCTGAACATTTGGAGAGTTTGAGCACCTGGAGGGTTTTGAGCACCTGGAGGGTTGTGAGCACCAGAAGGGTTGTGAGCACCTGAAAGATTATGAGCACCTGAAAGATTATGAGCACCTGAATGGTTCTGAGCACATGGAGGATTCTGAGCATCTGGAGAGTTCTGAGCCACAGGAGGGTTCTGAGCACCTGAAGGGTTCTGAGCATCTGGAGGGTTCTGAGCCACAGGAGAGTTGTGAACACCTGGAGGCTTCAGAGCACCTGTAGGGTTCTGAGCACCTGGAGAGCTGTTAGCACCTGGAGGGTTCTGAGACTTTGGAGGGTTCTGAGCACCTGGAGAGTTCTGAAAATCTGGAGGGTTCTGAGCTCCTGTCGGATTGTGAGCATCTGGAGGATTGTGAGGATCTGGAGGGTTCTGAGCACATGTAGGATTGTAAGCACTTGGAAAGTTTTGAGCACCTGGAGGGTTCTGAGCATCTGGATGGTTCTCAGCACCTGGATGGTTCTGAGCATTTGGAGGGTTCTGAGCATTTGGAGGGTTCTGAGCATCTGAAGGGTTTTGAGCAAGTGGAGGGTTTTGAGCACCAGGAGAGATATGGGCACCTTGAGGATTGTGAGCACCTGGATGGTTCTGCAGCACCTAAAGGGTTCTGAGCACCTGTAGGAGAGTGAGCATCAGAAGGATTGTGAGCACCTGGAGGATTGTGAGCACCTGAAAGATTATGAGCACCTGGATGGTTATGAGCACCTAGATGGTTATGAGCACCTGGAGGTTTGTTAGCACCTGGAGAATTGTGAGCACCAGAAGGGTTCTGAGCACCTGGAGGGTAGTGAGCTCCTGGAGGATTTTGACCACCTAGATGGTTGTGAACACCTGGAAAGTTGTGAGCATCTAGAGTGTTCTGAGCACCTGGAGGATTGTGAGCACCTGGAGAGTTCTGAGCACCTGGATGGTTCTAAGCGCCATGAGAGTTCTGAGCATCTAGAGGGTTCTGAGCACCTAGAGGGTTCTGAGCACCAAGAAAGTTCTGAACACCTGGAGGATTGTGAGCATCTGGAGGGTTCTGAGCACCTCGAGTGTTCTGAGCACCTGAAGGTTTGTGAGCACCTGTAGTGTTCTGAGACCCTGGAGAGTTGTGAGCACTTATAGGGTTAAGAGCACCTGTCGGCTTCTGAGCCCCAGGAAGGTTTTAAGTACTTGGAAGGTTCTGAGCACCTGCAAGGTTCTGATTGATAGCCCCTGCCGGGTTATGAACACCTGGAGGGTTGTGAGCACCTTGAGGGTTTTGAGCACCTGGGGGTTCTGAGCACTTGGAGGGGTCTAAGCACCTGGAGGCTTCTGAGCATATGTAAGGTTGATAGCACCCTTAGGGTTGCTAGCACCTGAGAATTCTGAGCACCTGAATCGCTCTTAGCACCTGAAGGGTTCTGAGCACCTGGAGGGTTCTGAGCACATGGAGGGTTTTGAGCATGTGAAGGGTTCTGGGCACCTAGAGGATTGTGAGTATGTGGAGCACCTGAAGGGTTCTGAGCACCTGGAGGGTTCTAAGCATCTGGAGGGTTGTGAGCATCTTGAGGATTGTGAGCATATGGAGGATTGTGAGCATATGGAGGATTGTGAGCACCTGGAGGGTTTTGAGCACCCGCAGGGTTCTGAGCATCTGGAGGATTATGAGCACCTGGATGGTTCTAAGTATCTGGAGGGTTCTGAGCATCTGGGGGATTGAGAGCACCTATACGGTTGTGAGCTTCTGAAGTGTCGTGAGCACCTGGAGCTTTGTGAGCACCTGGAGGGTTGTGAGCACCTTGAGGATTGTGAGCAACTGGAGAGTTCTGAGTACCTGGATGGTTCTGAACATCTGGAGAGTTGTAAACACCTTCAGAATTGTGAGCATCGGGAGAATTGTGAGCATCTGGAGGGTTGTGAGCACCTGGAGAATTCAGAGGACCTATAGGGTTCTGGGCATCTGAAGGTTTGTGAGCACCTGGAGGATTGTAAGCACCTTGAGGGTTCTGATCACCTGGAGGGTTCTGAACACCTGAAGGATTTTGAACACCTGAAGGATTTTGAACACCTGAAGGTTTCTGAACACCTGGAGGGTTGTGAGCACCTGGAGGGTTGTGAGCACCTGGAGGATTCTGAGCATCAGGAGCGTTTGAGCACTCGGAAGATAGTGAGCACCTGGAAACTTCTGTGCTCCTTGATAATTCAGAGCACCTGGATGGTTGTGAGCACCTGGAGGTTTGTGAGCACCTGGAGATTTGTGAGCACCGGGAGGGTTGTGAGCACCTGGAGGGTTGTGAGCACATGTAGGGTTCTGAGAACCTGGAGAGACTGTGAGCACCTGGATTGTTCTAAGCACCTGGAGGGTTCTGAGCAGCTGGAGAGTTCTGAGCACCTGGAGGGTTCTGAGCACCTGGAGTATTGTGAGCACCTGTATGGTTCTGAGAACCTGGAGATATGTGAGCACTTGTAGGGTTGTGAGTACTTGTAGGGTTGTGAGCACCTGGAGGGTTGTGAGCACCTGGAGGGTTGTGAGCACCTGGAGGGTTGTGAGCACCTGGAGGGTTGTGAGCACCTGGATGGTTGTGAGCACCTGGAGGGTTTTAAGCTATGATGATAGGTTAAGAGATCAATAACTAACAAAAGCGAAAAGGAGATTGACCACATCAGATATTAATGATAACATCCTAAATACTTAGAAACAATAAGAACATCCTCACCCACACATAGAGTATTCACAATATCATCAATGTTTCAAAGATAAAATCCGTTGGAGCCGCTATGAGGGGTTCGAACCTATGGGGTCGGTGTTCCCCCACGCAAACGCATTAGCGACTAGACCACAGTATGATAAGGGGATTGCAACCTGGAGTTCTACTTAACACACAGGGGTTTTCTGGTGACTGTATTAGTGAAACATTTCTCATTGACACATCACGTTAGCATTATTACAAATCTGTGTATTGAATGAGGAGCGTCAGAGCTAAAATATTCCTAGATAACAGAGCCAGAGTGCAAGGGGGGGGGGAGGATTGTGTGAAAATCCTGTTCCGGCTTCAGTGAAAGCCTCAGGAAATCCTTGAATGTGTTTAGTAGAGCTCCAGGTCGCAATCCGTATACCATGTCGTGGTCTAGTCGCTAGAGCGTGTGCGTGGGAACACCCACCGGATACACACAGAAATCACAATAGTGTGATATATCAAATGAACAAATCCACAAGGGCCGTGATGAGGGTTCGAACCTACGTCTGAGAGGATCCCGGACATGGTCAAAAGAATTGCAATCGGGAGTACTACTGCCTTCACACAGATACCGTAGCCCCTTCGAGACACAAATTGGGGTTTTAGAATTCTTGTTGACAGACCCTGGGTGCATGGGGGAATTGTGTAAAACCCCGATGTCTGTCTCGGAGAGGCTGCGGGATCCGTGTGATGGCTGTAGCAATCCTGGTTGCAATTCTTTTTACAATGTCGTGGCGCAATCGAATAATGCAAAACTGGGATCATCCTGGACGTAGGTTCGAACCCTCATCACGGGCCTTGTGGATTTGTTCACCCACATCATAGGTTCGAACCTTCATCACGGCTCCTACGGATTTTCTCATGAACATCCTTTATAAGGGTAAAATACAAGATGGAATTGGTAGATTTTAGTGTGGCAAGTAAGAGAGGAGACGTTAAGGAGACTCGTACACCAGACAATATCAGGAAGGTCCTCGGAGAAGAATGTATGCATGTCTGCCATGTTTAGCTTTGAGTGAAGACCACAGCAAGTACAAACGTCAAGAGAAATTTAAATGCAACAGAAAAGAGTATCAAGAGAGCCGGGCCCGAAATGCTAGATCTCACTCCCTGTATTCGCTGATATATATTTATATATATATGTCGTACCTAGTAGCCAGAACGCACTTCTCGGCCTACTATGCAAGGCCCGATTTGCCTAATAGGCCGAGTGATTTTCTTTATTTTCCATAAATTGTTTCCAATTGGTTTATTTGAATTATTATTATTACATTATACTAAGAACATCAATTATTGACTTAGTTATGTTAGTTTAGGTTAGGTTAAGATAGGTTAAGTTAGGTTAGGTTGGGTAGGTTAGGTTTGGTCATATATCTACGTTAGTTTTATCTCAAATTAAACAATATGAACTCATACATAATTAAATGGATAGCTTTATCATTTCATAAGGAAAAAATAAAAAATATATATAAATTCAGGAAAAGCCGGAGGCGGCTAGTTTATTGGGCACCCCATACTCATCCTGTGAGCGGTAGTGCACCGGCTTATATACTGGGAGCATTGCTTGGTCCCATTGGTCATCTTGCAGAGAGAGGTTTAGCACTTTCATGGAGCGGGAGCACACTTTAGGAAATGGTTCTGGGCAAAGCCAGGCACCTTGTGAGGAGGTACAAAGCATCGTGGGCATCTAAAACCCCTATTCTTCCCTCCTTCTCCTCAGGTCATTCAGCTTTTCTACAAGGACTACCTCAATGGCGCTCGAGGCCAGAGGTGCCCCTAGAAGCACATTGATGGTGGGAGCGATAACTGGTGCTCCTGGCAATAAGATTCGTACTGCATCTATGATTGGTTGGCTGGATGAGATGATTTCACACTTTCATGGATTTAGGGTGAGTTCTAAGTCCTCTCCCATAAATTTCACCAGCTGTAGATCTTCTAACAGAGACTCATGTGTCCCTGCCAGGGTGAGATCGTCCTGGAACCAGATGTTGAGTTCGCTGGTCAACCTGTTTGTGACCTCTTTAGCTGACATGCAAAAAAGAAAAGGGGCAAGTGGGTCTCCCTGCTAGACACCTTCTGCGGAAACACCTTCATGTTCCCCAAAGAACAGTGTCGATTCCCTGCTGTACCCTGCTGAAACGAAGGGAAGTAGAGAAGGAAAGCGTGATCGAACCGTTTCCAGTATCACATCCCTTTATACCTGGTTAAAGGCATTATTAAAGTCTAATTTAACTAATGCCTTATTTTCTGGGACGTGCTTGATATAGGCTCGTGCTGCATGAGCTGCTGCTTCACAGCCATGGGGGACACCAAAACCTAGTTGATGGGGTCGAAGCATCGTTGCAGCTCCAATGGTAATTTTTCTGACAGCTGCCCTAGCAACAAGGCGCCGAAGTGTGTTACCCACGGCAATGGGTCTGACTCCACCACCCTTTCATTTAAGGGCACAAAGGGATGCTCTGAAGAAGAAGGGTTTAATTGTATCTGGGATCAGCCCAGAGAGGCAGTTGTTGACAAACTTCGTGATCTCTGACAACAGTGTCTCGGCAACTTCGCCGAGAACTGGGTTTGTCATCTCCTCGAGGTGCTAAGGTCTTACCCCAGTGTATACCCCTGATGAGCCTGGTGGAAATGACATGATGGCTTTGTATTCGGCAGACGCTTGGAAGAGTAGGGGTCCCATATCTGGGACATTTGTGTCCCGAGCAGTGGGTTCCCATGGTACTCTGGGAGGGCACTTCATGCTCAGTGAGTCGGCAGTAGCGATATTTCTAGGTGCGATTGTTTCTTCACTGGTAAGTAACCTAATTGCCCATACTGTGTTGCCCTAATCAATTTCTTTGGTCACTTATGTTCCTAGTTTGAAATTGTCATTGGAACACATCGGTCTGCCACGGCATTATTTGCTTTGAGGGGAGGATAGGGATCAAGTTGTCAGTTATCAGCTCAGGAGAAATTGTTAAATATATATATATATATATATATATATATATATATGTATATATGTATATATATATATATAATATATATATATATATATATATATATATATATATATATATATATATATATATATATATATATATATATATATTGACGTTTGTGTTTGTATTTATTGTTTGAAAGAACTCTTGTGTGTATACAAGACTTCTTACATTCTTGTATAGCTACTAGCAGGTATATCGTTTGGGATATTACATAATCATAATTTTCCCTATAATACGACCTGCCTAATCGTTTAACAACCAGGTATCCATTCGCCTTTTGGGGAACAAGGCTATAGTTAGGGATTGGTGACCAGAAAATATTCCACCGCCAGGATACGAACCCAGGCCAAAGCGAGAGTGTTACCAGTTCTCTACGGGGGCATTGGGACTTAAGCTTCCCTGTCCACTACTGCCTGTTACTCTTCCACAGAAGCGAGAACTGAGTGCAGCTTAAATTAGTGTACTTACCCATGAAAGAATTCCGTTATGATTCTTCCCTCAGGCCCTTGGTCCAGACCGGCCAGACTCGACATCTCGGCAGACGTCAGCTCGAAGTCAAAAATCTGTCATAAGTACAGATATACATCACGTGAAATTTACGTACATATATACATTTATATAATGTCTTCTTCACACAATAAATACTAATATTATTCTTTTTTTCTAAACTATCTTCTTTGTTTTATAATATAGGTTAAAAAAGCATAACTCCTAACCAAAACATTGACCTAATCATATACAGTACCACAAAACAAAGAAGACTACAGACCTCATTATTAAAAACAGTCCAAAGCTGACAGAGAACCCTTAACAGCAGTCAAACATGGTATTCACCTAGCTGTGCTTGAGGGGGTTGAGCCCTGCTCATTCGGCCCGCCTCTCAACTGTCAATCAACTGTTACTAATTAACTTTTTTCCACACACACACACACTCACACGAAATGCACCTTACGACACTGGAAGACAGAAGAGCAAGGGGGAGACATGATCACAACTAACAAAATCCTCAGGGGAAATCGACATGGTAACCAAGGATAGACTATTCAACACGGGTGGTACGCGAACAAGGGGGACACAGGTGGAAACTGAGTACCCACATGAGCCACAGGGACGTGAGAAGGAACTTTTTCAGTGTCAGAGTAGTTAACGGATGGAATGCATTAGGCAGTGATGTGGTGGAGGCTGACTCCATACACAGCTTCAAATGTAGATAGTGTGTGTGTGTGTACACACACACACACACACACACACACACACACACACACACACACACACACACACACACACACACACACACACGCACAAGCACGCACACACTCACACACACACACACGCACACAGAGCTTCAACCTGTCCTCTTAGAAATTATGTCTAAATTTGACTGTTTACTCGTATGACCGAAAACTGATGTAATTTGAAAATGAAAAAAAAAACGAAAATAATTTTTTTTTTCAAAACAATAAGTTAAGGGTCCTCTGGTAGGTTAGGAGGGCAGGAAATTCTCCTAATGTTTCAAAACGTCATGAAAGACGTTAATTGAAAGTGTCTTCTACCCTAACAGACAAAGCTGGAGGACACAAACTGAAAACGGGTCACTTTATCACTTTCGTGAGTCAATTAAATTTCAAATTACATCAGTTTTCATACCAGCGAAAAGCGACATTATTTTAAGAGGACGGGTTGCAGCAGGCAATCTCCCTGGTACCTATCTACTGCTAGGTAAGAGGGGCATGAAGGTGGAAGAAATTAGGCAAATCGGGTCTTGCATAGTAGGCTGAGAAGTGCATTCTGGCTACTAGGTACGACATATATATAATATATATATATATATATATATATATATATATATAATATATATATATATATATATATATATATATATATATATATATATATATATATATATATATATATTTTAAGATGAATAGGAAAACCAGGGATATACTGAACATCTTGTTTCAGATTCTTTACTTTAAAATGCATAACGTTTCGAATACTGCTCGTATTCATCATCAGATCTAAAAGAAAAAAACTGAAATCACAATCAAATAACTGGTAAACAAAGAACTCATACTGAATATAATTGCCTATCAAAGAAAGGAAAATGCTTAAAAAACAAAACACTAAAGCGATCAATACAAATAAAACTTATTAACTGTCACATATATAAAAGCTAATTTAAAATTCATTAAACTACAAGATGAATTTTATAACTACTAAAACAAACCATTCTATTAAACTTACGTGAAGTGATCAGATGTGAAACTTGATACCTAACACATAGATACTAAACACTATAACAAATATTTATATAATGACTACAAATCTACAAAAAATGTATATAAAATACAAACAGAATAAACGACAATTATAAAGTACTAACCAAAATCTTATAAAAACTCAAATATTAAATAAAATTAAATACCAAATAATGTATTACATATCCTAAATAAAAGATTATAATAATGTACAATGTCAAGACTTAAAATAAGTAAGAAAGGGCAAAGACAAGGTAAACTAAACAAAATTATAATAAAATTAAACTACCAGAATGAACTATAAATCAAATTACAGGGCCTACTGTGCACTATACAGTGTACAATTGAACAGCTGAAAGGTTGCTATTTAACAGAGGCCGCAGCTCCTTTATATATAAGGATTCCATTACTCTCAAATCTGACTGGATACAAGTGTCCAGAATTTTAAAATCAGATTCCAGCAGAGAATGATTAAACTCATAACAATGGTTTCTAATCTCCGAAAATGCTGGTTTAGACAATGGTAATCCAGTCCTAAAAGATAATCCCCGGTGCTCAAGTATCCTAATCTTAAAGTTCCGAATGGAACTCCCGATATATCCAGCATTACAGCTGGAACAATTATACATATATACGACATTTGAGCACAAGGGGGTAGGCACTTTATCTTTAAATTTAAAATAAGAGCCTATGGTATTTGTGTTAACAAAAATAAATCTAAAGTCTACTTGAGGACTTTGTTCAACTTTGTTCAGTATATCCCTGATTTTCCTATTCATCTTAAAATTAAGATTCCCGAAGGGAACATCGATCATAAATATATATATATATATATATATATATATATATATATATATATATATATATATATATATATATATATATATATATATATATATATATATATATATATATATATATATATATATATATATATATATATATATATATATATATATATATATATATATTAGCCTATACTTGCATAAACCACAAGTGAAGATAAACAATCTTGTTTATCAATCTTAAGATTGTTTATCTTCACTTGTGGTTTATGCAAGTATAGGCTTATAAGCTGGACACGAGTTCTCTCACATTGACAGTGGCTTGACGAAAATTGCAGATTGACCCCTCACTCATCTGGTGCCTTCGGGAGGTAGAGATGTTTGAGATATATATATCTCGAACTATCTACTTCTTTTGTAAGGTCTGATGGCGAAGTGGGTTAAAGCATACTAGTTATGCCAGCTACTGGAAGGTAGTTGTGCTTTCTGGGTTCGAGTCCCACTGGTGGGTGTTGTCCAAAGATTGTTTATATATATATATATATATATATATATATATATATATATATATATATATATATATATATATATATATATATATATATATATATTATTAAATATGACTGAAAAAGTAAGATTAATAATTTTAACACGAATTTTCTCAATCTTTCGTACATTTCTTTTCACTGTTGGAGGTAATTCAAAAATCAATTCTCCAAAATTCATTTTTATTTCTAGTCTGACGCGACACTTGAGCGCGTTTCGTAAAACTTATTACATTTTCAAAGACTTTAGTTAACACATACACAACTGAATAGAACTTACACATCTCCGATTTTGTTTATATCTACATTTGAGTGAGGTGGATGGGGTGAGGTGGTATTTAATAGGGTATTAATTTCATCAACACAAGCCAGAACATGAAACAATGGGTATTGAATAGAAGTGATTGTAGAAAGCCTATTGGTCCATATTTCTTGATGCTTCTATATTGGAGCGGAGTCTTGAGGTGGGTAGAATATAGTTGTGCATTAATTGGCTGTTGATTGCTGGTGTTGACTTCTTGATGTGTAATGCCTCGCAAACGTCAAGCCGCCTGCTATCGCTGTATCTATCGATGATTTCTGTGTTGTTTACTAGGATTTCTCTGGTGATGGTTTGGTTGTGGGAAGAGATTATATGTTCCTTAATGGAGCCCTGTTAAACGCCTAGAAAGAGATGTTGTTGTCTTGCCTATATACTGGGTTTTTTGGAGCTAACAGTCCCCAAGAGGGCATTTGAAGGCATAGACGACGTTAGTCTCTTTTAAAGCGTTCTGTTTTGTGTCTGGAGAGTTTCTCATGAGTAGGCTGGCCGTTTTTCTGGTTTTATAGTAAATCGTCAGTTGTATCCTCTGATTTTTGTCTGTAGGAATAACGTTTCTATTAACAATATCTTACAGGACCATTTCCTCCGTTTTATGAGCTGTGGAAAAGAAGTTCCTGTAAAATAGTCTAATAGGGGGTATAGGTGTTGTGTTGGTTGTCTCTTCAGAGGTTGCATGGCGTTTCACTTTCCTTATGATGTCTTTGACGAAACCATTGGAGAAGCCGTTGTTGACTAGGACCTGCCTTACCCTACAGAGTTCTTCGTCGACTTGCTTCCATTCTGAGCTGTGGCTGAGAGCACGGTCGACATATGCGTTAACAACACTCCTCTTGTACCTATCTGGGCAGTCGCTTTTGGCATTTAGGCACATTCCTATGTTCGTTTCCTTAGTGTAGACTGCAGTGTGGAAACCTCCGTTCTTTTCCATGACTGTTACATCTAGAAAGGGCAGCTTCCCACCCTTTTCCATCTCGTAAGTGAAACGCAGCACGGAACTCTGCTCAAATGCCTGCTTCAACTCCGGCAGATGTCTGACATCAGGTACCTGTGTAAAAATGTCGTCAACATACCTGCAGTATATGGCCGGTTTCATGTTCATGTCGACTAAGACTTTTTGCTCGATGATACCCATGTAGAAGTTTGCAAACAGGACACCTAGGGGAGAACCCATGGCGACCCCATCTACTTGCTTATACATGTGCCCATCCGCGCTCAAGAAGGGTGCCTCTTTAGTACAAGCTTGGAGTAGACAGGCTGGATCATGATACACTCTGTCGGCTATCATCCCGATTGTCTCGTCCACTGGTACGTTAGTGAACAGAGATTCTACGTCCAACGAGGCTCTTATTCCTGTGGCCCGTGTGCCCCGCAGTAAGTCAACAAATTCCTTTGGCGACTTCAGGCTGAAGGCGCAAGGGACATAAGGAGTCAGCAGGCCGTTGAGTCGCTTCGCCAGTCTGTACGTGGGTGTGGGTATCTGGCTAATGATTGGCCGAAGTGGGTTTCCAGGCTTGTGTGTCTTGACATTTCCATACGCATATCCAAGTTTATATTCCCCAATGATCTTTGGCGGGTGGAGTCCGGATTTCTTGGCGTTCAAAGTTTCGATCATTTTGTTGACCTCTGCTTTCAATTCGGCTGTAGTGTCCTTCG